ATCCTCTTTTTAAGGCCCACATCCAGTTTTAAATTCCAGCTGGAAAGGTTAATGCCGGGCCTCTGGGGTGGGAGACATTTTAGGAAAGAAAGCTAAGAACAGCACTCATTCTCTATATCAAGTAGCCTGAGAGGCTAAGGTACACTAGCATATTAGCAAGACACTCAGATATTTACCCTCATAACAAGTCTAGGTAGTAGATAATATTATTTGCCTTATTTTACAGATAAGGAAACCGAGGCACCAAGAGGCTACATGACTTGTCCACACAGCTAGTAAGTGGTAGAACTGGATTCAAACCCAGGGAATTGACTTCAGTGTCTGCTCTCAATCACTACCCACACTGTCTCTCTTCGCGCATGTTCTTTTCAGTACTTGAACTAGTCGGGTAGTCTCCTGAGTAGAAGGAATGGTGTCAAGTTAAAACCTTTTTTTTTTAATTACAAGCTCCTATTTTAGTGAGTAGTTTGGCTGAGAAACCTCCATGGATTTGGATCCTTGTTAGATTTGCTAAGAGTCTTCATCTGGCCAATAGAGATACGTGGGCATAGATTAAACAACCTGCATGGCCAACATTTAAAAGAAATTATGCACTATTCACTCTCTTGACTGTGATGTAGGGGCTAATATTAGATCACAGTCCCCAATAGGATTCTTTGCATCTTTGCACCTACTGAGAAATGTGTTCCTTGCAGCTTGAGAGGCATCCTATTCACACTAGTCCTTGAGGGAGGAAATTAAGTCCCTCATGCCTCCCTTGGTGAAGGGAAAGACTCAGAGCTCAGTCCATTGTTGATAAAATGAGCACAAGAAAAAACATAACCCCTAGAATAAAGGGCAACAGGCAAAATCTCAGTGGTGCTTACCAGGTACACGGAGCGCCTGCTATACTTCCGCAAAAGACAAGGCCCAGGGCGGTTCTTCTGTCAGAGCACACAGAGCCTCAGCCCAGGAGCTGTCCTACCTGCCTCCTTTGCAGATAAGTCTTTGGTTTCCCATTTGAAAACTACAAAGTTTAGCATCCAGATCAGTGGTTCTCAACCCTGGCTGCACATTAGAATCACCTAGAATCTTTTCAAAATCCTGATTTCTGGGCCTCATCCTCCAGAAATTCTGTTTCTTTGTTACTAATGTTGTGGCCCCACCCCATAACAAAGAAACAGAATTTCCGGAATATAAAATAAATATCAAAAATATAAGTCTTTGTTTTACTATGGTTGAAAATATCAAAAAATTTCTATATGTGACACGGCACCAGAGTTAAGTTAGGGTTTTTCAAAATGCTGACACGCTGAGCTCAAAAGGTTCGCCATCACTGTGTGCAGCCAAGGTTGAGAACCACTGATCCAGATGAAGGTTGAGAAGCCAGCTGCCTCAGTGCTTTCCATCTACAGCTGAGGTCAATTTTGGAGACCGTAACAGGTAAGTCAGGGATAAAATAAACTGGAACATCATGGAGCACATGTGAGGAATTCTGCCCCATTTCAGAAATCTGTGTTTAGTTTTGACTTTTCTCCATTTTCCAAATTTCCCTTAGTGTTGATTCTATTAGTCCAAAACAGTCCGTCACTGCTCACTTCTTTTTCTCCAGGCTCCACGTGGTTCCCAATATACCTAAAGACTACGTTAGCTGCAAGGCATCTTGGGTTCCCTCAAACATTTTCTCCCCCCGCCCCCCGGCAGCCCCCCATTTACTCTCATTTACTTCAAACTGTAAAAACAGGGCCATTCCCATTAGTTGTGTAAACCCCAATCGCTCTGTAACGTGGCTCCATTTTTAACAAGAGCAAACATACATTGGGCCAGACATAACTCATTTAATCCTCAAAGCAATCCTGTGAGGTAGGTACTATCATGATCCCGATTAGGAAAATGAGGAAGCCAGGGCACCGGAAGTTATGGGCATGCCCTAGGACTCTGAAATAAACATTGTTAGGGACTACGAACTTTCACAATGACTGGGTTCCTGATAAGCTAATTCTGTGTCTTTGGTGCCAAAATCATTTCGTGTTGGATGAAACGTCATGGCTCAATTGGATCGGTCACACCCAGCTTGGAGAGTCCTGTATTGTTCCGGGACCTCAGGCATAAAAGCTGCAGGCTGCTCAGGAAGGGACTGTCTGCGACTCTGCCACCTGAAAGCTACTATCCACTGTCCTTTCTCACCTCTCGAAGGGCCTGCTCCTAGTGCAGGCACCTCACACCCACTCGCGGCTACTTTGTTATTTCTAATCCATTGTGTGGTAGGAAAACAAACCCCTTGGTAATGGCATTCTGGATTTTCTCAAAGGCATAATGAATATCAATTGGTTTCATTTCTTTTTGACTTGTACTTACAGCTTCAAAAATCAAATTAGAAATTGTGGCAGAGAGACCCCGTGGGATTTGGGGCCACTCCGCGACCAGGAAAGGTCATGGACTTTGGCAAAGCCTGCACTGCACGCAATCACCAGAGACCTTTGCGACTCCTTCCAGGTGTTTTAAGTTGTGGGCAGTGATCAGGGGAGGGCCTGCTGCATGGCTGAGGTGTTTACTGGTAAATTCTCATTTCATTCACGTGCCCATAGGCAGGAAGGACTGCGCCCCGCCTCTGCCAAGGAACATGCCCAGAGTCACTTAAAATGGACATCTGTAAGGATTCCTTAAAGGAAGCAATTTTAAAATTTTTACCCAGAGTCTTCCCAGACCCAGGAAGTATTTCCACGTGGCTCAGGACTGTTTCCTCTCACAAGCTGCTCACGGTGAAAGCCACGTCTGAGCAGCTGCACACGTGCTTTCCTCCACCGACACCGAAGGGGCTCATCTCCTCCTTTTAGAGGAAGTGGCCATCTGCCTCGACCCTGTCAAACCCTTACCTGGTTCCTCTTTTGACCCAGAGCAAACACTTCTGAGACTGTGGGACTAGACTGGCAGCGTGGTTTCATTACTATCTCATGTTGACGGGGGAGGAGAGGGTAGAGAAAGAGAACCCTGAACTATGGAGTCCAGAGTCCCCTGGTTCTTATAATTCCTCTTTTGATCAACTACTCCATGATCTTGAGCAAATCGCTTAATCTCTCTGTAGCTCAATTTCCTCAGTTTATCCGTGAGCTGCTGGATCAAATGAGGTTGGCTGTTGGACGCATTATGAAACACTATCTATCCCCAACAAGCCACGACAAAGGTTCTTTCAGTCATTCCCTGTGTCTGCAATCCCCAGTCACTGAAAAGTCTGCACCTTCACTGACCGTTATGCCATGATACTGGGTCACCATTCACTTCAGAAGCAGGAGCTAAAGGGGCCTCGATCCAAAACTAGGTAGCCTCGATCAGAAAATAAGAGATCCGTGCTTGCTTCGGCAGCACATATACTAAAATTGGAATGATACAGAGAAGATTAGCATGGCCCCTGCGCAAGGATGACACGCAAATTCGTGAAGCGTTCCATATTTAAAAAAAAAAAAAGAAAAGAAAATAAGAGATCTCTTCTGGGGCTGGTGGCAATAAGGTACTCCTCAGATCACCCCCACCCCCTGTTTTTGGCCACTGCCCCTCTCTTGGAGGTGAGAATGCTACTGAGCCTCCGATGGGGGTACAACTCCCTCCCTGGACCACTGATCCTTGTAAAAAAGAATCCTTTCATCCCAATATCCGCTTTCTCTCCTGGGACAGATGACAGATACACTAAAGAGCCAAAGGCACTCTCAACACCCAAGTGAGTCCCCAGACTTTAAGGATTTCTCAAGATTCCAAATGTCAAGCTGCCAGACACTAAGCAAAGGCTGTGATGCCATCAAAGTCCTAATAGGCTACCTCTACCTGCCTTTTAGGGAAGAAATTTTGGTATGAACTTTCTGGTTGTCACCGCCTCATCAGAGATTTTTATTTTTCAATGTAATGCCTTGGACTTTTTTTTTTTGGTTGTCACTGCTGTAGTTTCAAATGAACACTCTGTCTGTTCAGTGGCAGACCGTTGTCACATTTTCCAGAAGGAGAAATGGAAACAGCAGGAAGCCCAGTCACTTTGCCCAGGGTCTGCTGTTTTTTCACAGCCTTAGCAATGAGGAACTTTGCCTCAGTGACTTAAGACTAAACAGACCTCTACAAGTCTCCCAGTCGGAAACCTGGAGCAGGAGCCAGCTGAGCTCCTCACTCAGCCGCATTTGGCCAGGTCAGTAAATGCCTCCAGGCTGCAATTTTCCGTCTGTGAACTCTGAGCTAATGGAGAAAGCAGGAGAGGCTGACTTGGGTAAACCAGAGAAACTACCCTATGTCTCAGGGTTTGAAAGGCAACTTGGAAGCGTCACA